CAAAAAATTATTATTAAATAATTAAAGAGCAACAATAAAATAACAGTAGCGAGGCTATATACAGGGAGTATCGGTACAGAGTCAATGTGCGGGGGCACAGGTTAGTCGAGGTACAGTGGGGGAAAAAAGTATTTAGTCAGCCACCAATTGTGCAAGTTCTCCCACTTTAAAAGATGATAGATGCCTGTAATTTTCATCATAGGTACACGTCAACTATGACAGACAAATTGAGGGAAAAAAATCCAGAAAATCACATCATAGGATTTTTAATGAATTTATTTGCAAATTATGGTGGAAAATAAGTATTTGGTCACCTACAAACAAGCAAGAGTTCTGGCTCTCACAGACCTGTAACTTCTTCTTTAAGAGGCTCCTCTGTCCTCCACTCGTTACCTGTATTAATGGCACCTGTTTGAACTTGTTATCAGTATAAAAGACACCTGTCCACAACCTCAAACAGTCACACTCCAAACTCCACTATGGCCAAGACCAAAGAGCTGTCAAAGGACACCAGAAACAAAATTGTAGACCTGCACCAGGCTGGGAAGACTGAATCTGCAATAGGTAAGCAGCTTGGTTTGAAGAAATCAACTGTGGGAGCAATTATTAGGAAATGGAAGACATACAAGACCACTGATAATCTCCCTCGATCTGGGGCTCCACGCAAGATCTCACCCCGTGGGGTCAAAATGATCACAAGAACGGTGAGCAAAAATCCCAGAACCACACGGGGGGACCTAGTGAATGACCTGCAGAGAGCTGGGACCAAAGTAACAAAGCCTACCATCAGTAACACACTACGCCGCCAGGGACTCAAATCCTGCAGTGCAAGACGTGTCCCTGCTTAGCCGTATGTCCAGGCCCGTCTGAAGTGCATTGGATGATCCAGAAGAGGATTGGGAGAATGTCATATGGTCAGATGAAACCAAAATATAACTTTTTGGTAAAAACTCAACTCGTCATGTTTGGAGGACAAAGAATGCTGAGTTGCATCCAAAGAACACCATACCTACTGTGAAGCATGGGGGTGGAAACATCATGCTTTGGGGCTGTTTTTCTGCAAAGGGACCAGGACGACTGATCCGTGTAAAGGAAAGAATGAATGGGGCCATGTATCGTGAGATTTTGAGTGAAAACCTCCTTCCATCAGCAAGGGCATTGAAGATGAAATGTGGCTGAGTCTTTCAGCATGACAATGATCCCAAACACACCGCCCGGGCAACGAAGGAGTGGCTTGTAAGAAGCATTTCAAGGTCCTGGAGTGGCCTAGCCAGTCTCCAGATCTCAACCCCATAGAAAATCTTTGGAGGGAGTTGAAAGTCCGTGTTGCCCAGCGACAGCCTCAAAACATCACTGCTCTAGAGGAGATCTGCATGGAGGAATGGGCCAAAATACCAGAAACAGTGTGTGAAAACCTTGTGAAGACTTACAGAAAACGTTTGACCTGTGTCATTGCCAACAAAGGGTATATAACAAAGTATTGAGAAACTTTTGTTATTGACCAAATACTTATTTTCCACCATCATTTGCAAATAAATTCATTAAAAATCCTACAATGTGATTTTCTGGATTATTTTTTCTCATTTTGCCTGTCATAGTTGACGTGTACCTATGATGAAAATTACAGGCCTCTCTCATCTTTTTAAGTGGGAGAACTTGCACAATTGGTGGCTGACTAAATACTTTTTTTCCCCACTGTATACCACGGGTTATTTGATAGAATCCTGGCCATAATCCAGGCTGTTTACACAGGCAGCCCAATTCAGACGTTTTTGTCACTAATTGGTATTTTGACCAATGAGATCAGATGTTTTGCCAATAATTGGTCTTTAGACCAATGAGATCAGATGTTTTGCCAATAATTGGCCAAAAGATTAGACGCAGCCTTTGTGTGTCAAGGTTTTGGACTTTAATTGTTGGCAGTGGCTAGTTTAACAAAACCAAAGTGTGAATTGCAGTCCTATAGACTGCTTTCAAGGTAAGGAAACTAATATCTTAATATGTCAAATGTGAACTATCCCTTTAAAATGGAACCGTCAGATCACAAAAGACACCATACAACGACTCGATAACGTTAAGAACAGTTTTATTGTGAAAAAAAGTCTGCTTTTCATCCCCTAGCCTAAAACTGTACAATCAATAATTTAAAAACATGTTTCGGCTTATTTCTTTTTCCAAGAACACACTCTTGCGCTCGCTCGATCACACACTCCTTGTTTAAATTACCCAGCAGCAGCTACAACCAAAGGAAAATAGGATGCATCCCAAATGGCACCCTATTCCCTATGTAGTGCACTACTTTTGACCAGGGCCCATTGGAAATGCACTAGATAGGGAATAGGGTGCCATTTGGGACGCAGCCATAGTGTTTACATTTTGTGTTGACCATCATTACTATTCCCTTATCCACACGGTGTGCGTCCAAAAATGGCACCCTGTTCAAAAGTAGTGTACTATATAAGGAATAGGGTGCCATTTGGGACGCACTATAACATCCTCAGGCAACATCAGGGACGCCCCCAACGGGGCCCTTCTCCTGACATGGTCGCTGAGGTCACGAAACTAAAATCTCCCATCATTCTTTGCAAACAATCTTTTTAAACTGTCCATTGTAATAATAACAACAACAATAATCCCATCTTGGAGAAATAATTTGACAGGAAGAAAAATAATGTATCTCAGATGACACCCTATTCCCTCATATAAGGCACTTCTTTTAAAAGTACTGCCCTATTTTGGAAAATAGGGTGTCATTTGAGCCCTTCCCAATGTCAGACTATTATAAAGGTCAACATCAACGAAGGTGTCGTAATAAAACACATTACAAATTACAATGACAAAAGTTTAAAAATGGAGGAAGGACCAAAAAAAAGGTTTTGTTGAAAGCTTGTCTTCCCTACATGCTGAAGGGAGTGGTCCATATTATGATGTTCTACACAAGAACCAATCACCTCCTCCCTCCTTTACAGTCTAAAACTAACAACAGATCACTATTAGGACAGCATGACAACCTTTCCTATTACCAGACCTAGAGGTTTTCCCTGACCTCACCATGTGGCCTAACCAGGAAAACCTCTGGGCCTTTCCTATTACCAGACCTAGAGGTTTTCCCTGACCTCATGACCTCACCATGTGGCCTAACCAGGAAAACCTCAGAGAGAGGGAGGCCTCGAAACAGTCCTATTTTCGTCATTCATACAATATTGGATTTTGAGGCGATGCATTGTTGCATACAAACCAAATAAAACAAAAGCCTTTTCTCAATTAGATTTGCTCAACTCCTGCGTCCTCTCTCGCCTCATTTTCAAAAAGGTCAAAGGTAATCGAGGAGAGGCGGCGAGGAGGGAACGTGGACGAAAATGCTACTTGTATGAAATGAGACTCCTCTCCACTCACACGCCACCAGGCAAATTGTTTACAGGGTGGAATCCCAAAATAAATGTGTAAAGTGATTTTTTAAAAACTTTTCAAAACTCTTCCACGAAGGACTCAGGTAGGACACACATGACTATCCTTGATGAAAGGTGACTATTGAGGAAGGGAGGACACTCTTCCATTTACCTACTAACAAATTGACACTCCTCGACCACTTATTGGTTTCTGGGTGACGGAGGAGAGTGGACAGACTTTTTCCCAAATGAGAAAAGGCCATACATACATACACCCATCCATCCATCCATCCATCCAGAGGAGTCTGTCCTTATAGCGGTTTATACTGCAGCCTCTCTTAGGCCAGAGGGAAAAGTTAGTTCAGTAAAACACGGAACAATGAGGGAGAAAAATTGCTTTGAGGGTCAGGAGACTTCCCTGAATAGGAGAAACTCCGGGTCTCCATGCTCACATCGCTGACTGTCTGTGTAGGAAAACAATATGGCCGCCATCCAGTGAGAAGAGAACACCACTCAGCCTGACAACCAGGCTTCATTGGGTGAGTCTGGGCCTGCGTCCCAAATGGCACCCTATTCCCTACATAGTGCACTACTTTAGACCAGATCCTGTGTAGGGAATAGGGTGCCATTTCAGATGCAGCCTGGGAGTTGGAGGCTGTGGGGAAGATAGGGGAGTTCCTTCACTGGCTGCACTGGAAACTGGTGCAGAGTGGAGAGGAGGAGAGAGAGAGGAGAGAGGAAGGAGAGAGACAGACAGACAGAAAGGAGAGAGAGAGACAGATGAAAAGGAAGGAGAGAAGAGAGACGGAGAGGAGAGAGAACAGGCAGAGTGAGGGAGATGGAGGGAGAGAGAGAACAGGCAGAGTGAGGGAGATGGAGGGAGAGAGAGAACAGGCAGAGTGAGGGAGTTGTAAAAAGCTCCATAGATCCATGAAGAGAACATCTATTATTTAACAGATATTAATCATGGGACGGCAGGAGGCAATACTCAGATCAACAGAGAGAGAAAGGGAGGGGAGGGGAGAGGAGAGGAGGGGAAGGGAGGGGAGGGGAAACACACTAGAACTCAGTAGGGTATGAGATCAGATGTTTTGCCAATAATTGGGCAAAATATTAGAATTGGGCTGCCTGTGTAAACGCAGCCTTTGTGTGTCAAGGTTTTGGACTTTAATTGTTGCCCATGGCTAGTGTAACAAAACCAAAATGTGGATTGCAGTCACTTGAGGGGTAGGGGGCACGTCATTGGTCAGGGGTCAGAGGTAGGGGGTCAGCCAAGCCCCTCCTATGGACGAGGGTTGACCATAGATGTCTGGTCTCCTCCTCATACAGAGAGTAGGTTTCACCTCCTCTCCTTCTCCCCCCAGGGTGTAGGGTAGGGGGTAAGGGTCTGTTTCAGGGTGTCTCCCCTCCTCAGGGTGTAGGGTAGGGGGTAAGGGTCTGTTTCAGGGTGTCTCCCCTCCTCAGGGTGTAGGGTAGGTCTCAGTCTTGGTTCTCCCACAGGCCCTACACAACCTCTCCTCTTCTTCTCTGTCTCCTCAGTGGAAGGGAGGAGGTCTGTTTCAGTGTGTTTAGGGTCTCAGTCTCCCCCTCCCCCCCAGACAGGGTCTATTACTAGGAGATTTTACAGTTGTTGCGTGTGCAGTTCTGTGGGGGGCTCTGGGGGGGTTTGATGGATTTAGAGCGCTTCAGACTGTTCCCTTTAGACCTGCCCGCCGCGTTGGCCAGCGAATAGGAGCGTCCGTGCATCATCACTGCGTTCATCCCATTGGCCATAGAGAAGGACTTGAGGTGGGACTTTATCGCCACGGGCAACGGCAGCTTGTCAATCAGGTGGACGGGCGTGCAGGAGACAATCGCTCTGCAGCACAGGTCCTGAAGACTGAAGACTGGAGAGAGTGAGAGAAAGGGGAGAGAAGAGAGGGAGGGGAGGGAGGAGAGGAGAGAGAGGGGAGGGAGGAAGGAGAAGAGAGAGAGAGAGAGAGAGAAAGAGAGTTCATACACAGGAGATTGCTAACCTTAAACAACCTTGTTCAGTCATGTTAAAGCATTAGCTAGCTAGTAACCTGGTAACCACATATATCATAATCCGTGTGGTAACTTTACCAGTGGTATGCAAACATTTGGTGGCTCAGAAAGAAACAACGGGATAGCTTCTTTAGGAGATGTGCTTCTAAAGTAGTCCTCTGTAAATCAGTTGGTAGAGCACGGTCCTCTGTAGTTCAGTTAGTAGAGCACGGTCCTCTGTTGTTCAGTTAGTAGAGCACGGTCCTCTGTAGTTCAGTTGGTAGAGCACGGTCCACTGTAGTTCAGTTAGTAGAGCATGGTCCTCTGTAGTTCAGTTAGTAGAGCATGGTCCTCTGTAGTTCAGTTGGTAGAGCACGGTCCTCTGTAGTTCAGTTGGTAGAGCACGGTCCTCTGTAGTTCAGTTGGTAGAGCACGGTCCTCTGTAGTTCAGTTAGTAGAGCATGGTCCTCTGTAGTTCAGTTAGTAGAGCATGGTCCTCTGTAGTTCAGTTAGTAGAGCATGGTCCTCTGTAGTTCAGTTAGTAGAGCATGGTCCTCTGTAGTTCAGTTAGTAGAGCATGGTCCTCTGTAGTTCAGTTAGTAGAGCATGGTCCTCTGTAGTTCAGTTAGTAGAGCATGGCGCTTGCATGACCAGGATAGTGGGTTCAATTCTCGGGACCACCCATATGTAAAAATGTATGCACGCATGTCTAAGTCGCTTTGGATAAAAGCTTCTGTTAAATGGTATATATTATTATATTAAAAGTAGGATAGCTAGGATGCATATAGGCTTTATGTAGGCTGTATCTCAATCTTATTTTTTTCTTCTGGTGCTCCTAAACCCTGTATTTTCTAATTGCTGGCAATTTATATAATTAATACCTTGAATACTTTTGTGTGTGCTCCTAAATTTTTGTAATTAGGAGCACATGTACTCCTTGTAAAAAATCTCAGCGTAGAGCCCCCCTCTCCCCCTCCTACCTCTGTTGGGCTTCCAGAACTTCTCCATGCCGTGCCTCATCAGTACGATGCGAGACAGCTCTGTGAACGACTCGATGACGTTGAAGTTGCAGAGCGGGCTGACCTCGAAGAAGGTCATGCCATTCTTCTCAGCGTACGCCCGGGCCTGCTCCGTAGGAACCTGGCGCTTGAACGCCAAGTGGAGCCGGTTACCTACCAGGATACGAGGTACACCCGGGGCATGCTGATGGGAGGGAGAGGGAGGTGGGAGGTGGGGGGGGGGGCATTTAAGTGATTTACAGGAAGCAGAAAATAGTAGTAAGTAAAATAAAGCAAGGGAACTGTTACAACTGTCCCTTTCAGATAATATAGAGATCAGGGACCGGTTTCCCAAAAGCCTCTTAAGGCTAAGTTCATCGTTAGAACCTTTCATAGGAGCATCGTTAAATCTCTGAGCAGTTCCCCAAAACCATCATTTCTAAAGTTGGTCTTGAAAAAGATTGTTATTTAACGACTGCCTCAGAACACTCTTAGAGCAGCTAAGTACGTTGTTAGATGCGTTTTTTTCCCTACCGCATCACTTTATACACAGAAGATCGCCGCTAAACACAAAATCAAGATGTTTATCTGTCTTTCCGTGACCGCCGATAACTTCAGAACGAATGTGATAGTGACTACAAATACAAAGCTACCCATTTCTTTGCATAACAAGTGAAAGATATAATGACACTCCAAATTAAAACCCAGATGACTGTATTAAAAGATACAGTATAGACTACATACACCTATATATTGGAATGATATTGAAATATATTTAATGTTCATTCAATTGAGTTTTATTTAGCTATTAGTACGCTACTGTCTGTTATTTTTGCCTCAATATACAGTACGCTTAGTGGTCAAAACATTAAGAACACCTTCCTAATATTGAGTTGAACCCCCTTTTGCACTCAGAACAGCCTAAATTTGTCTGGGCATGGACTTTAAGGTGTCGAAAGCGTTCCACAGGGATGCTAGCCCATGTTGACTCCAATGCTTCCCACAGTTGTGTCAAGTTGGCTGGATGTCCTTTGGGTGGTGGACCATTCTTGATACATACGGGAAACTGTTGAGCGTGAAAAACCCAGCAGCATTGCAGTTCTTGACACAAACCAGTGCGCCTGACACCTACTACCATACCCCATTCAAAGGCACTTAAATCTTTTGTCTTGCACATTCACTCTCTGAATGGCACACATACACAATCCATGTCTCAATTGTCTCAAGGCTTAAAATTCCTTCTTTAACCTGTCTCCTCCCATTCATCTACACTGGTTGAAGTGGATTTAACAAGTGACATCAATAAGGGATCATAGCTTTCACCTGGTCAGTCTATGTCATGGAAATGTTTTGTACACTCAGTGTATTTCATGATGTGTAACATGTGACACAATGATGTGCCAAATCTGGATTTAGTGGATTATAATAGCATTAGAATGAGCCACCTCAATATTTGTAGCCAGTTTATAATATCTCTCTAGGAGCTGATCCGTCGTCAGTATTGTGGAATAATTCTAATGTTAAGGTAAGATTGGAAAGGGAGGAAGCTGATCCGAGAGCAGTGCTTATTTTCTTTCAATCCTATCAGTATCGACACATGCTCCGACGATGCACTTAGCGAACGTTCTCTCTGCGTGGTGTTTTGGGAAACGCATGTTACATCTTCAGCCGTTGTAGGAAAGACGCTTCGTTAAAAACACTCATAAGTTCCATCGCTATGGGAAACTCTTTCTAGCCGTTTCACCTCTCTCCTCTCATTCTACCAATCAGATTCTCTAGTCTATTTTCTCTCTCTCCCCCCCTTCTGTCTCTCTCCCCCATCTCCCTCACTCTCTCTCCCCCATCTCCCTCCCTCTCTCTCCCCCCCTTCTCTCTCTTTCTCCTCCCCCCTCTCTCTCCAGTCCAGGGTAGTGTAGACTAGAGGTAGAAAAGGAAAGCCATATCTTCACCAAACATGGAGGATGTCAGGAAGGACATGGTGTTTCTATAGCAGTACTCTGGGTCTATTCTGTTCTGTTCACTGAGGTGTGTTGAGGACTATGGGACAGGGTCTCTCCTCTCCCCTCGCTCCCTTCTATCCTCTCATCTCCTCTCCTCTCCCCTCCCTCCCTTCTATCCTCTCATCTCCTCTACCCCCGCTCCCTTCTATCCTCTCATCTCATTTCCTCTAATAACCTCGCTCCCTTCTATCCTCTCATCTCCTCTCTCGCCCTCCCTCCCTTTCCTATCCTCTCCCTCTCCTCTTCCTCCTCTCCTCACTCATCCTCTCCCCTCTCCCCTCGCTCCCTCTATCCCTCATCTCCTCTCCTCTCCCTCCCCTTCTATCCTCTCCTCTCCTCTACCCTCCCTCCCTTCTATCCTCTCATCTCATCTCCTCTCCTCTCCCTCCCTTCTATCCCCATCTCCTCTACCCTCGCTCCCTTCTATCCTCTCATCTCCTCTCCTCTACCCTCGCTCCCTTCTATCCTCTCATCTCCTCTCCCCTCGCTCCCCTTCTATCCTCTCATCTCCTCTCCTCTACCCTCGCTCCCTTCTATCCTCTCAATCTCCTCTCCCCTCGCTCCCTTCTATCCTCTCATCTCCTCTCCTCTACCCTCGCTCCCTTCTATCCCTCTCATCTCCCCTCGCTCCCTCCTCTCCTCTCATCTCATCTACCCTCGCTCCTTTCTATCCTCATCTCCTCTCCTCTAACCTCGCTCCGTTCTATCCTCTCATCTCCTCTCCTCTCCCCTCCCTCCCTTCTAATCCTCTCATCTCCTCTCGCTCCCTTCTATCCTCTCATCTCCTCTCCCCTCGCTCCCTTCTATCCTCACATCTCCTCTACCCTCCCTCCCTTCTATCCTCTCATCTCATCTCCTCTCCTCTAACCTCGCTCCCTTCTTTCCTCTCATCTCCCCTAACCTCGCTCCTTTCTATCCTCTCATCTCCTCTCCTCTCCTCTACCCTCCCTCCCTTCTATCCTCTCATCTCCTCTACCCTCGCTCCCTTCTATCCTCTCATCTCCTATACCCTCGCTCCCTTCTATCCTCTCCTCTCCCCTCGCTCCCATCTATCCTCTCATCGGTAGTGTAGACTAGAGGTAGAAAAGGAAAGCCATATCTTCACCAAACATGGAGGATGTCAGGAAGGATGGGTCTATAGCAGTACTCTGGGTCTATTCTGTTCTGTTCACTGAGGTGTGTGAGACTATGACCGGTCTCTTCTCCTCCCCCTCGCTCCCTTCTTCCTCCCTCCTCTCCCCTCGCTCCCTCTTCCTCTCATCTCCTCTAAACCCTCGCTCCCTTCTATCCTCTCATCATCCCTCCTCTCCTCTACCCCCTCCCTTCTACCTCTCATCGCCTCTGCCTCGCGCCCTCTATCCTCTCATCTCCTCTCCCTCCTTCTATCCTATCTCCTCTCCCTCCCTCCCTCTATCCCTCTCTCCTGCTCCCTCCCTTTATCCTCTTCCTCTCATCTCCTCTCCCCTCGCCGGCCCTCTAAATCCTCTCATCTATCCTCGCATCTCCTCTCCTCTACCCCTCCCTTCTATCCATCCTTCATCGCCTCCTCCTCTCCTATCCTATCCCTCCCTTCTATCCTCTCATCTCCCTCCCAACCTCGCTCCCTTCTATCCTCTTCATTCTCTCTCCTCTCCTCTAACCTCGCTCCCGTCTATCCTCTCATATCTCGTATCCGCTACCCTAACCTCCCTCCCCTTCTATCCTCTCCCTCCCTCCCTTCTCTCCTCTCATCTCCTCTCCTCTACCACTACCTCGCTCTCCCCATCTAATTCCCTCGCATCTCCTCTCCTCTACCTCCGCTCCCCTTCTATAATTCCTCGCATCTCCTCTCCCTCCCGCTTCCTCTCATCTCCTCTACCCTCGCTCCCTTTAATCCTCTCATCCCTCTATAAGCCCTCGCTCCCCTTCTCTACCGCTCAACTCCTCTCGCACCCCCGCGCCCTCTCCTTCTCTCTCTATCCTCTCCTCTCCTCATATACCCTCCTCCCTTCTATCCTCTCATCGCCTCTCCCTCGCCTTCTCATCCTCTCATCTCCCCTCTCCCCTCGCTCCCTTCTATCCTCTCATCTCCTATACCTCCGCTCCCCTTTCTATTCCTCTCCTCTCCTCTCGCTCTCTTCTATCCTCTCGCGTCTCTCGCTACCTCGGCTCCTTCTATCTCTAATCTCTCCTCCTCTCCTCTCGCTCCCCCCTTCTATCCTCTCTCTTCGCTTTCTTCCTCAAACTCTCTCCCTTCCTATCCTCTCAATCTCCTCTCCTCCCCTTCCTTCTAGTCTCTCATCCTCCTCTCCCCTCTCCTCCCTTCCTATCCTCTCATCTCCTCTACCCTCGCTCCTTCTATCCTCTCCTCTCCTCTCTCCCTCGCTCCCTTTATTATCCTCTCAGCCTCCTCTCCTATAACCCTCGCTCCTTCTATCCTCCTCCTCTCCTCTCACCCGCTCTCTTCTTCCTCTCGATCTCCTCTCCTTTGCTCCTTTCTATCACTCTCATCTCCTCTACCTCACCCTCGCTCCCTTCCTATCCTCGTCATCTCCTCTTAACCACCCTCGCTCCCCTCTAAATCCTCTCTCTCATCTCCTCTAACCCTCGCTCCCTTCTATCTCTCAATCTCATCTTCCTCTCCTCTACTACCCTCCTCCTCATCTATCCTTCATCCTCCTATACCCCGCTCCCTTCTAAATCCTCTCAAATCTCATCTCCTCTAACCCTCGCTCCCTTCTATCCTCTCATCTCCTCTCCTCTCCCTCCTCTCTTTCTATCCTCATCTCCTCTCCCTCCCATCTATCCTCTCATCTTCTCGTCCTCTACTCGCCCCTTCTCATCCTCTCCTCTCTCCTCTCACCTCGCTCTCTTCATCCTCTCATCTCCTCTACCTTTGCTCCCTTCTATCCTCTCATCTCCTCTACCCTCTCTCCCTCTCCCTTCTATCCTCTCCTTCCTCTAACCCTCGCTCCCTTCTTATCCTCTAATCTCCTCTCCCCTCTCTCCCTTCGATCCTCTCATCTCTCTCCTATACCACCCCCTCTCCCTTCTAATCCTCTCCCTCGCTCCCTTCTATCCTCTCATCTCCTCTAACACCCTCCTCGCTCCCCTTTCGTATCCTCCCTCTCATCTCTCCTCTCGGTCCCCTCCTCTCCCTCATCTCTCTACCCTCGCTCCCTTCTATCCTCTCATCTCTCTGCCTCGCACTCTTTCGCTCCCCTTCTAGCCTCTCATCTTCTCCTCTCCTCTCCCCTCCCTCCCTTCTATCCCTCATCTCCTCTCCTCTCCCCCCTCCCTCCTTCTATTCCTCTCATCTCCTCTCGCTCCCTCTAATCCCTCGTCATCTCCCTCTCCTCTCCCTACCCATCGCTCCCCATTCTATCCTCTCATCCCTCTCCACTATACCCTCCCTCCGCTTCTTTCCTCGCTCATCCTCTCGCTCCCTTCTATCTTCTCATCTCTCTCCTCTAACCTTCTCCCTTCTATCCTCCTCATCTCTCCTCTACTCCCTCCCGTCTATCCTCTCATCTTCCTCTACCCTCACTCCCTCTATCCTCTCATCTCCTCTCCTCTACCCCCTCTACCCCCGCTTCCACCATCTCCTCTACTAAAACCCCTCGCTCCCTCTATCAGCTCATCCTCATCTAATCTCTCCTCTCCTCTTCCTCTCCACCCTTCCTATCCTCCTCATCTCCTCTCCTCTACCTCGCTCCCTTCTATCTCTCATCTCCTCATCCCTCTACCCTCTCTCCCTTCTATTCCTCTCATCTCCTTCATACCAACCCCTCGCTCCTTCTATCCTCTCATCTCCTCTAAACCCTTCTCTCTCTTCTATCCTCTCATCCTCCTCTAACCTCCGCTCCTCTATCCTCTCAATCCTCCTCTCCTCTACCCTCCGCTCCCTTCTATCCGCTACGCATCTCCTCTCGCTCCCCTCGATCCTCTCATCTCCTCTAACCCTCGCATATCCTCTACCCCTACCCTCGCTCCCCTTCTTCCTCTCCTCTCTCCTCTCCCCCCCTCCCTTCTATCCTCTCCATCTCCTCTCCTCTACCCGTCGCTCCCCTTCTATCCTCTCATCTCCTCTCCTCTAAACCCGCTCTCCCTTCTATCCTCTCATCTCCTCTCCCCTCCCTCCCTTCTATCGCCTCATCTACCCTCGCTCCCTTTCTATCCTCCATCTTCCTCTCATCTCCTCTCCTATATCCCTCCTCCCTTCTATCCTCTCCTCTCCTCTCCCCTCGCTCTCTTCTATCCTCTCATCTCCTCTACCCTCCCCCTCGCTCCCTCTATCCTCTAATCTCATCTCCTCTACCCTCGCTCCCTTCTATCCTCTCATCTCCTCTACCCTCGACTCCCTTCTATCCTCTTCTCATCCTCCTCTACCCGTAACCCTCGCGCCCTTCTATCCTCTCATCTCCTCTCCTCTACCCTCCTCTTCTTCTATCCCTCTCATCTCTCCCTCTCCCTCCCTTCTTCGAAAACTCTCATCTCCTCTCACACTCGCTCCTCTCTTCCTCTAATCTCATCTCCCTCTAACCTCGCTCCTTTCTATCCTCTCATCTCATCTCCTCTCCTCTAACCTCGCTCCCTTCTATCCTCTCATATCCTCTACCTCCCTCCCTTCTATCCTCTCATCTCTCCTCATCCCTCCTTCTATCCTCTCATCTCCTCTCCTCAACCCCTCGCTCCCTTCTATCCTCTCATCTCTCTCCTCATACCCTCGGCCTTCTATCCTCTCATCTCCTCCCCTCCCTCCCTTCTATCCTCTATCTCCTCTAACCACTCGCTCCCTTTTTTTTTCTATCCTCCCCCTTCATCTCCTCTAGTCCTCCTATCCTCTCCATCGCATCTCCCCCTCACCCTCACCCTCCATCTCTTCTTCCCGCTTCATCCCTCTCCTCTCGCTCCCTTCTATCCTCTCATCTTTCTCCTTCTAACTCGCTCCCCTTCCTATCCTCTCATCTTCTCCTCTACCTCCCTCCCTTCTTTCTATCCTCTCATCTCTCCTATCCCCTCCCCTTTTCTATCCTCCTCATCTCCTCTCCCCTCGCTCCTTCTATCCTCGCATCTCCTCTCCTCTACCCCTCCCTCCCTTCTATTCTCTCATTCTCCTAGCCTCTCATCTCCTCGCCCCTCTATACCTCGCTCCCCCTTCAATCACCCTCCTCTACCCCTCCCTCCTTCTAATCCTCTCCTCTGAAAACCCCGCCTCCCTTCTACCGCTCATCTCCCCTCGCTCCCGTCTAATCCTCATCATCCATCTCCTCTACCCTCCGCTCACCTTACTAATCCTCTCATCGCCTCGCCCACCCCCCTCTCTTCTATCCTCTCATCCCTCTCCTCCCCTCCCTTCTATCCCTCAGCTCCTCTCCTCTAGCTCGCTCATCCTTTCTACTATCCTCTCATCTCAATCTCCTCTCCTCAACCTCGCTCCCTTCTATCCTCTCATATCCTCTACCTCCCTCCCTTCTATCCTCTCATCTCTCCTCTCCCCTCCCCCTTCTATCCTCTCATCTCCTCTCCTCTACCTACCCTCGTCCCTTCTATCTTCATCTCCTCTCCTCTATACCCTCGCGCCCTTCTATCCTCTTCATCTCCCTCTCCCCCTCCCTCCCTTCCTATCCTCTTCAAATCTCCTCTAAACCTCGCTCCCTTCTATCCTCTCATCTCCTCTACCCTCCTATCCTCTCATCTCATCTCCTCACCTCTACCCTCCATCTCTTCTATCCTCTCATCTCCTCTCCTCTCGCTCCCTTCTATCCTCTCATCTTCTCTCCTCTAAACTCGCTCCCTTCTATCCTCTCATCTCCTCCTACCATCGTCCCTTCTATCCTCTTCATCTCCCTACCCTCCTATCCTCTCATCTCATTCCTCCACCTCTACCTCCATCTCTTCTTAGCCTCTCATCTCCTCGCCTCCTCGCTCCCCTTCTACTCCTCTCAATCGTTCTCTCCCTAAACTCCGCTCCCGTCATCCTCTCACTCTCCTCTCCTCTCCCTCCCTTCTATCGTCTCATCTCCTCTCCTCTACCCTCGCTCCCATCTCCTATACCGCACTCCCTTTCTAAATCAGCTCATTAATCTCCTCTCCTCTACTCCCGTCTAATCCTCTCATTCCTCTCCTCTAACCTCGCTCCCTTCTATCCTCTCCCTCCTCTCCCCCTCGCGCCCTTCTTCCTCTCATATCCTCTACCCTCCCTCCTCCTCCCTTCAGCCCTCGATTCTCCTCTCCCCCCCTCCCTTCAATCCTCTCATCTCCTCTCAGCTACCCTCGCTCCTTCCTATCCTCTCATCTCCTCTCCTCTAACCACTCGGCCCTTCTATCCTCTCTCCTCCTCTACCCTCCGCTCCCTTCTATCCTCTCATCTCCTCTACCCTCGCTCTCTTCTATCCTCTCATCTCCTCTACCCTCGCTCCCTTCTATCCTCTCATCTCCTCTCCTCTACCCTCGCTCCCTTCTATCCTCTCATCTCCTCTCCCCTCGCTCCCTTCTATCCTCTCTCTCCTCTCCCCCTCGTAGCTTCTCCTCTATACCCTCGCTCCCTTCTTATCCTCTCATCTACTCTCCTCTACCCTCGCTCCCTTCTTCCTCTACCCCGCTCCTTTTCCTCTCATCTCCTCTCCCCTCCCTCTCTTCTATCCTCATCACTCTCCCCTCCTCTCCCTCTCTTCTCTCCTCTAAACCTCCGCTCCCCTTCTAATCCCCTCATCTCCTCTACCTCCCTCCTTCTATCCGCTCATCTCCTCTAACCCTCGCTCCCTTCTATCCTCTCAACTCCTCTCTCTCGCTCCTTCTATCCTCTCATCTCCTCTCCCCTCTCTCCCTGTCTATCCTCCTCGTTCATCTGATCTCCTCGACCCTAGCTCCCTTCATCCTCTTCATCTCCTCTCCTATACCCTCGCTCCCCTTCTAATCCTCTTATCCCTCCTCGACCCTCGGCTCCCTTCTATCCTCTCATCTCCCCCTCGCTCCTCAATCTCTCTCTACCACTCCTCTACCCTCGATCCTCGTCTATTCTCTCATCTCCCTCCTCTACCTCGGACCTCGCTCCCTTCATCCCTCTCATCTCTCTCCCTCCCGCCCTTCATCCCCTCGCCTCTCCTCTTCCATCTACCCTCGCTTCCCTTCTATTCTCTCAGCTCTCTACCTCCCCTCCCTTCTATCTCTCCTCTCCTCCCTTCTTCTCCTTCTCAATCTCTCATCGCCTCCTTTCATCCCTCCATCTCCTCTCCTAGAACCTCGCTCCTTCTATCCTCTCATCTCATCACCCTGGCTCCCACTTCTCTCCTCTCATCTCCGCGCCCCCTCTCCCCTTCCGATCCTCTCATCCCTCTCCTCTACCCCCTCCTCCCTTCTATCCTCGCTCTCCTCGCTCCCTCCTCTCCTCTCATCGCATCTACCCTCCGCTCCCCTTCTATCCTCTCATCTCCTCTCCTCTAACCTCGCTCCCCTCTATCCTCTCATCTCTCTCCTCCCCCCTCCCTCCCTTCTATGCCTCTCATCTC